CTTGAGCCCCCTCTTCTCGCGCGCGAACGCCTCCCGGGATGGGGAGCGGCCCCTTTGCCACCGCCGCTCGGCCTCCCCCCCCCCCGACGGTGCCAGCCCCCGGGCCCCGGCCCCCCGGCGGACGCGGCTGCCCTGGCCCCAGCCCTGCAGCCCCTAACAACCCTAGGGCTTGGGGTGCAAAGGGGGGCCTTGTGGATTTCAGGCTCCACGCTTCTCTGGGCTGTTTCAAGCTTGCAGCTCTCTCTTTCTTTCTCTCTGTCTCCCGCTCTCTCTCTCTCTCTCTCTCTCTCTCTCTCTCTCCCTCTCTCTCTTTCACTCCCACTCTCTCTCTCTGACTCTCCCTCCGTTTCCCTCTCCATCTCCCTCTCTCTCTCTCTCTCCCTCGCCCTGCACCCCAGCACCCCAGCGCCCCAGCCCTAAGCCAACAAATCCGAATATCTGAACATCCCAACACCCGCCCCCTGGAACCCTGAGCCAAACCCCCTGGCCCTAAGCACCCCAACCCTGCGGCCAGGAACTTTTGCTGAGCGTGTCGGAGCGGGGGCCCTGGCGACACTCTATGCCTTGCAAGCGGATGGCGTGTCGCTCCGCTCCGCGGGGCGGGAGGCTCGGGAAGCTCAGGACGTTACCGCCTCGGGACCGTGCAGTGGATAGCCCGTCGCACCGAGGCGCCCCGACCGTAAGCACCGTACCACTCACACGCCAACCCTAAGCACGTGCGCGCCCGCTTGTCTCCCAATACTTTTGCGCTGTAAGAATATTGGGAGACGAGCTGGTGACCCCTGGGTGGGCGCCCCCGCCTCTTTTCCTGCCCCCCTGTGCCACCCATTTCCTCCCTGAAATGGTCACCCGTCTGTCACCGAAATTCTGCATTTCGGGAGGGGGCCAGCCTGCTCCCCCCCCCCCGGAATTTCGGGTAACAGGCGGGTGAGATCATCATTGCAGCTCTTGGAATGGCCACCCGCTCCTCATCCCGACATGGGGCGACACTCGGGGAGCCCAAGCTGGGGTGAAACGGTCACCCGCTTGCTACCCGCACTCTGGCATTTCGGGAGGGGGTCAGCCGGCCCACCCCCCGAACTTCGGGCCACAAGCGGGTGAGACCACTTGGGGGGGTGGAGTGGAGGAGGAGGAGGAGGAGGAGGAGTGAGGAGAGGAGGAGGGAGGAGGAAGGGGAGGAGGAGGAGGAGGATGAGGGAGGAGGTAGGAAGAGGGGAGGAAAAAAATGAGAAAGGATGAGAGGTGGAGGTAGGAGGGGGGAGGGGTGAAAAGCGCGCCCGCGAAATCGGCGAAATTGCCCCGCCTGTGGCCCGGAGCTCTTGGGGGGAGCCCGGCCAGGCCGCGCGCCCCGACCTTTCTTTTCGGCGGCCACGGGCGGGCGAGACCCTCTGAACCCGCTGGAAGATCCTCATCCGCTCGCCGCCTGACATTCGGCAAGATTCGGGAGGGGGCTGGCCCAGTCCCCCCTCGAATTCCGGGCGGGGGCAAGACCGGGCCCCACCGAATGTGGCGGAGTGTCGGGCAACAGGCGGGTCTGGTAGGTGACCAACTCGTCACCTGAAATGGCCACCCGCTTGTGAGTCGAAGCACGGGGGCTGAAGGTGAGCGCCCGCCTGTGCCCCAACACTCGGAGATCCGAGGTAACGATTAATGGGTCACATGTGAACGTTTTTTCTTATTCGGCGCTTCGACAATGGGCGGAAGGGGGGGGGAGGAAGAGGGGGTCTGGCTCTGGACCTCTGCTGAACACGACTGTTTGCAACAGTGCGTCCTATGGGGGAGACTCTAACTGCTTGAGACAGGCGCACAAAACAACCAGGATCTACTCCATGGGGGGGTGGGGGAGGGGGTGCGAGGGCCCGCGCCGATCGGCCGGACCTAAGACATAATAACCTCCTTCGAAGACATGAGACCCTCCGCCAGCCAAGAGACACACAGCCTCCAGGGGTACCCTCCCCAGGATGCTCAAGAGCATCCAACGGACACGAAGAACATCAGGGCACCCTCCCCGAACCGACCTCCCCCGATTTTATACCCAGAGGCCGCCTAGATGTGGTCGGAGTAGATGGGGTCGGAGGATCGCGCCGCATCACCGATGCATCGGCGATTCATCGGCAATGCATCGGCGATGCACCGGCGATGCATCGTCGCGGTCGGCGATGCATCGGCGACAGCGACATGAAGCAAATCGGTCTTCACATCGAGCCGCATCGGCGATGCATCGGCGCTGCGGCGCGATCCTCCGACCCCATCTACTCCGACCCCATCTAGGAGGCCTAGAATAGTGAGCGTTTCTATATTCGGCGTTTCGGCTTTGGGCGGAAGGGGTGGGGGAAGGGGGGGGGTTCTGGCTCCAGACCTCTGCTTCGTGCGACTGTTTGCAGCACTGGGTCCTGTGAGGGGAGACTCCAACCGCCTGAAACAGGCGCCCAAAACAGTCAAGATCTACTCCATGGGGGGGAGGTGGGGGGGGGTTTGGGGCCCGCGCCAATCGGCAAAACAATGAGCAACAACAACGCCCGCATACCTCGGTCCGACCGTAGTGGGTAACAAGCTGGCGCTCTCCTGCCCCCCTGACCCTGCCGCCCCCAGACCCAATCCCCGATACCCGGGGGGGGAGCGCTGCCCCGCTCGGATCTCCGGGCCCAGGCCCCCTGGACTTTTACCGTCGCTTGGACGTCCCTTCCCCGTGCAGGCTTCGGCTTCGCGCGTGCACTTTTTTCGCAAGGTGCTCAGGGATGCTCCTCGAGGGTCCTCGCCAGGAGGAGGAGGAGGAGGAGGAGGAGGAGGAGGAGGAGGAGGAGGAGGAGGAAGACGGATCGCATAAGCCCTTCGGAGAACCCTCCAGCTTCAGGATGCTCCTCGAGTGTCCCCGCCGAGTAAAAACAGTGCACGCGTCCGAACGATGCCGAGGTGGGCCTGCGGGGGCCCCGCGGTGGTGGGCACCCCGGGCTGCCCCGGTCGCGGTGGACGGTGGTGGCGGCTGCTCGCGGCCGCAGGTTTTCAGTGGACCGAAACTCGACGCTTTTTTCGTTGCTGTTGTTGTTGCTATTGCTGTTAGTGTTGCCGTTGTTGCTGTTGTTGTTGATGCTGTTGTTGTCGTCGTCGTCGTCGTCGTCGTCGTCGTCCTCGTCCTCATTGTTGTTGTGGTTGTTGTTGTGTGGTGTGTGTGTGTGTGTGTGCGTGTGTGCGCGTGCGCGCGTGTGTGTGTGTGTGTGTGTGTGTGTGTGTGTGTGTGTGTGTGTGTGTATGTGCGTGCGTGCGTGCGTGCGTGCGTGCGTGCGTGCGTGCGCGCGTGCGCGTGTGTGTGCGCGTGTGTGTGTGTTGTGTGTGTATGTGTGTGTGTGGGTGTCTGTGTGTCCGTGTGTCCGTGTGTCTGTGTGTCTGTGTGTCTGTGTTTGTGCGTGCGTGTGCGTGTGCGTGTGTGTGTGTGTGGGTGTGTGTGTGTGTGTGTGTTTGTGTGTGTGTGTGTGTGTGTGTGTGAATGTGCCTGCATCTGTGTCTGTGTGTGTGTGTGTGTGTGTGTGTGTTGGGTCGCTTGATGTTTGGGTCTGCGGAGGCCTCCCATGGACCTCTGAGGCCGGGTTCTCGTCCTTCTGGGCCTCTCGAAGCCGGTTGCTTCGGGCCCCGTGGGCCCTCCGCGATCGGCCCGGGAAGAAACGCCTGCCCCCGGGAAAACGGTCGAGAAGTCTGGGAGGCCGCGCCTCGGCAACATGCAGCCCCTTCATGTCTGGACATCGCGCAGGGGCTAAGATCACAGTCATCGGCCTGACCTGAGGAGCGACCAGCAAGGAACGAAACCCCTTTTTATCCAAGGGATAACGCACAAGGAGCGATACATTATATACACATCACGCACAGGGAACGAGGAACCACGCATGCGAGCCCAAGGAACGACCGAGCCCCTTTTGAAACGGAAGTGCCCCTCAGCCAAGCCGCTCACTGCAGGCTGACCCAGCGCGGGACACGGGAGCTGGGCTGGCTTCGTGTCGGGGAGCGGCAGCTGTGCGCGCGCGGGGAGGCCAGAGCCGGCGGTCGGGCGGGGGAACGCTTCAAGAGTCACGCGGGGTGCCTCTCCAGGGGCCGTCCACGGCGACGGCAAAATCGAGAACCGATCGAACCGACCGCGAAACCGAAGCCGACCGAATCGACAGGCCGCCTGCAGCCCAGAAAGGGAGACGCGACGCAGCAACGACCGAACCGCACGGACCGAACGCAACCGACTGCGACGCAACCGAACCGACCGAACCGCGAACACCCTTGCTTTAAGTCGGGCGTGTCCCCCTACAGGGGGATTTTGGACGAAATATTTTAAAAAGTCAAAGCATGCCCCCAAATAGTGTCAAAAAATGCTAAACAAGATCGTCCCCTGGCTATTTGTTTGACTGTCTTTGAATATTCCTCCCGTAGAGGGACAGGCCCGACTTAACCCTTGCTTTCCTCTCCCGGGCCTCGTCCTTCTGCGCCAGGATCTCCGCGTGGCTCTTCTCCGCCGCCTCGAGCTTGGCGCCCAGGGCCGCCAGGGCACTCTGCGCGGCCTGGAGCCGCCGGGGGGGTGGGGGCTGGGCGGAGAGGGCGGCGGCACCACTGGCTACGACCGAGCGGCGACCGGCAACCTCGCGTGCACCACGTGTGTGGGTCGCCATGAAGCGAGCGGGTCTCGAGGAGACCGAGGTCCTGAGGTCTCTTGGGGCTTTCCCGGGCTTCAGGGCTGTCTGAGAACGACTCAGGACGAAAGGCTGGTCCCGAGGGAGCGCCCCGGGGTCCAGGACTCGCTTCCCTCAGGGCCCGTGTGCTTCATGCCGGGTGGTCCACGACTCGGAGAGCGCAGACGCGCGCGAGTGGGGAAGGGCGCGCGACGGCGCACGCGCTAAGCGGCTGCGAAACGCGCTGGAATCGCTTGCCTTCCGCGTCCTGGCTGGACAATCAGGGCAGCCAACACTAGAAGGATGGCGAACTTCGGCCCGCCTGGGGGGAAGGGGGGAAGGCATAGGGACGGGGAGGAGGATAATGGGGGAGGCAATAACTATCAACATCGACTCGCTAGGCCAGCTCAGGTTGGAGCGTGCATCGCAATGGGCTGCATCTGCGCGGAATCGAGATCAGACCTTTTCGAGTCGACCGCACCAATACACACAACCACGCCGTGCAAACACCGGGCTGCACCAGATCGATGGGGAACCGAAGTCGGAAGGAACCCAGCTCGGTGAATTCGGTGTCGAGCCAGATCGATCGGGTCGACACTGGCCCTGTTCGGAACGCCGAGTGCCACCGCCACCAAGGGGGTAGAACTTCCTGACCGTGCTGCGGTGGGCTCTGGGGGCGGGGGCGGAACGGGGCGGAGGGGCGTCCGTCGAGGACCTCGGCGGGTTTGCTGGCGCGCCCACTGGCGAAGCCTCTCGGACGCAGCTCGTGCTGGTTGCGGCAGCTTGACGGAAGGCGGAGGAGGAGTTGTGGAAAGATGAGAGCATGCTGCTGCTGCTGATGGTGATAGCGATGCGGATGATGGCGGTAGCATAACAATACGTATCATTGTTCTTACTACTCGTATGAACTGTTGTTACGAATACTCTTATCATTAATATTCTTATTGTCATTCATGCCATTACTACTACTAGTATTATTAGGGTTTCTAATGGCTCTCTCTTCACCCCACCGATCCAGGACCAAAGGGGCTGCTCGAGCGGAAAAAGACTATGAGCCTCGGACCAACATCCGAGGACGGGCTCCTGCTACAGGTGCGCGGCGTCACCTGGGGCAGCGCTGAGCACTACCCGCCACGCCGTGCCCCCCTCAAACAAGGGGAGACCACCGAAACCACTCCCTGGGAGCCGAGGTCTGCGGCGTCACATGGGGCAGCGCTCCGCACTACCCACCAGGCCGTGCCCCCCTCAAACGAGGGGAGACCACCGAAGCCGCTCCCTCCAGGTCCTCGAGCACATGCCAGGCAAGAAATACATCAATAGCAATTGCCAGGCATCATTGCTGAGGACATGTGACATCATCTCTGGGCGGCGCCAAGCCAGCGCGCCGCTCAGTACTAGGGAAATTGTCGATTTGGTGGCGGCGCCTCACGAAGCCCTGCACTCTACTCTGTCCAGGCTCTCCGATACACTCCCATTGCTTCAGCTGGGTCTGTACCTCTATGATGTGGTCGATCGCAGCCCTGCGGCGCACAAAAGGTCGAGCCTCAGCGTTGCGACTCGCAAGAAATGGGGACACGGCCTGACGGTGCATCACATCCAAAGCTTTCAGGGCCTCGGCTCCCGACACGCCAGGATGGGCAGCCTGACACAGCACGTCCAGCGGCGGGTTCTTGGCCCCGCCCTCCCCCTCAGAGCCTTCGACCAGGGCGGGGGGGGCGCCTCTGGTCGGAAACTGCCACGGCGTCTGCACGTCGTCGTGCTTCGCCGTCTTATAATAGGAGAACACCGTTGTGCCGCAAGTGCATACGAGGCCTTGCCCAAACTCCACAAGTGGCTTCGAAGGCAACGACTCCCAGCGCCCAGCACCCAGGACGAAAACGGCAGCTTCTGCCCGCCACTTGCCCCGTGCTGCCACACCACTCCGTTGTTGTGCGTCCAGTCTGGGCGAAGATGTGCTCGCATCTGGAAAAAATGGCTTGACCACCTCGGGCACGACTGGTTTGTCTGGCAATGCCTGCTGACCGAAGTGAACCTGTTTAGCTAGCAACGTGACCGAAGAGTGCCTCGCCTTGTCGCCATCCTTCTTGACAAGCAAATACTGCTTACGCACTCCAGGCGGCAACTGAAAGAGGTGAGCCACATTCCGCAGAGCCTCGCCCATATTGTGGCTGTGATGCCCCTGCTGGGCATCGAGCCCCCAATGCAACAACAGCGACTTGCCAAGTCTGGTGAGGCGATCGCTGAGCATACTAACCAACGAATCTGGAGCCACCAACGAACGAATCGAGAGGGAAACTGCCTCGCCGATCACTTCTGCGTCGGACACCTGGCGTGCCTCCACCCGCTTCTTGGTGGTTTCTAACTCCGTCTTGAGCTTGCGCACAAGATTGTCTGCAGCCTGCACGGCTCTAACACGCCGTTGCCTCCTAGCAGCCGTGCGAAAAGCAGACCCTGTCTCCCGCCACACACAGGGGCGGTTCCCGCAGCCATCGAACAACTCACCAGAATCAGGCACCATGAGCTAAGCGCATCGAGCCAAGATGTCGGGGAGAGCGGCCTTGAGCCAGGGCTTGAGCCAGGGCTACGGACATTATTAGGGTTTCCATCGTTCTTTCTATTCTCATCATTCTGATTACGATTATGCTCGGGACTATGGTTATGGTTATAAGTATGCTGGTGCTGATGATTATCTTCCTAGTGCTGCTACTACTTATGTCTAATAAAGCTACAACGATTACCAGTACTAAAATTTTGTCAGTCTTCTTGTTGTTGTGTTTGTGCTTGTGATTCTTATTGTTATTGATATGTAAAGTATGATGTTTGCTATTATTGCCTTTCTTACCATTATTTCCGTTATTCTTAACAGTTATTACCATTATCCTTATATGATTATGCTTTTAATATTAGCACTATTGGTATGTTACGAGTACCAGTGTCATTATAATTTTCAGTGTCAGTATCATGATGCTGATGCTTATGATAATGATGATGCTGATGATGATGATGACGACGATGCTGATGCTGGTGATCAGAATCCGAATTGGTATTATAAGGGTGATGGTGTTGACGACGATGACGATTACGACGGTTCAGAATCTTATGTTGGTTAAGGTACTCATAATGGTAAACATGGCGGTGGTGATGGTGGTGGTGATGCTGAGGACGACGATGATCTTGCTGCTGCTGATGCTGGTGGTGGTGGTGGTGGTAATACGGAGCCCCCCCGCGGCAATCCTGCTGGGTCCTACTCAGCTGGCTGCGGGCTCTTGCACCCAGCCGCACTTCCGTGCGGGGGCGCGCAGGCGCGCGCGCAGGGGCGGGCGAGAGACGACGAGACCGCCTCGATGGTGGTGATGGTGGTGGTGATGGTGATGATGGGGCCGCGCGCGCAGTTCCGCCCCGCAGGGCCTGCAGCTCGCCCTGTAGGGCCTGGGCCCGCGCCTGCAGCTCGGCCACGCGCTCCCGCTCCCTCTGCAGGGCCGCCTGCCGGGGCCGGAGCCGGCAGGCCGAGGGGGCCACCGCTGTCTCGACTTCCTCGACCTCGGATCCTCTTCTCCTCCTCCTCCTCCTCCTCCTTCTCCTCCTTCTCCTCCGCCTCCTCCTCCGCCTCCTCCTCCTCCTCCTCCTCCTCCCTCCTCCTCCTGCTCCTCCTCCTCCTCCTCCTCCTCCTCCTGCTGCTCCTCCTCCTCCTCCAGCTCCTCCTCCTCCTCCTCCTCCTCCTCCTCCTCCGCCTTCTCGTCCTCCTCCTCCTCCCTCCTCCTTCTCCTCCCCCTCCTCCCTCCCCCTTCTCCCTCTCCTCCTCCTGCTGCTCCTGCTGCTCTGCTGCTCCTGCTGCTCCTCCTCCTCCTCCTGCTGCTGCTGCTGCTCCTCCTCCTTCTCCTCCTCCTCCTCCTCCCTCCTCCTGTGCTGCTCCTCCTCTCTCATCCCTCCACTCCTCCTCCTCCTCCTCCTCCTCTCCTCCTCCTCCTCCTCCTCCTCCTCCTCCTCCCCTCCTCCGCCTTCTCGTCCTCCTCCTCCTCCTCCTCCTCCTTCTCCTCCTCCCCCTCCTCCCTCCCCCTTCTCCCTCTCCTCCTCCTGCTGCTCCTGCTGCTTCTGCTGCTCCTGCTGCTCCTCTCCTCCTCCTCCTCCTGCTGCTGCTCCTCCTCCTCCTCTCTCTGCTGCTGCTGCTGCTGCTGCTGCTGCTCCTCCTCCTCCTCCTCCTCCTCCTCCTCCTCCTCCTCCTCCTCCTCCTCCTCCTCCTCCTCCTCCTCCTCCTCTCCTCCTCCTCCCCTCCCCCTCCTCCCTTTCCTCCTCCTCCCTCCTCCTCCCCTCCTCCTCCTCGTCCTCCCCTGCTCGTTGCCCGCCCCCCCCCCCCCCCCCCTCGCCCTTCCCTCCCCCAGGTGGTGGTGGAGGTGGTGGTGCGCCCCCTCTCCCCGAGGGGGGATCAAGCCGTTTCTGCCCCTGAGATCCTGGCGTCTCCATCTGTTCGAGCACAGCGTCTTCGCCCTCTTGCGGGCAGCGGGGCCCTCATAGATCGGTCCTGGGGCCCGGACAATGGGGCAGAGAGATGGGGTCTGGGGCTCCAGCCGTGTTTTTTTCGCGATGTTGCAGTTTTTGTGCTACGTCGGATCTCTCCGATCCTCCCCTTCGACTGATTCTCTCCGATCCTCGATCTTCATCTTCCTGCCCCCAGGCCTCCCCCCCGATCTGAGAGGCAAAATCATCGGGGGGACCAGCTCAGGGGGGGGTCATCGAGCTGGAATCGGTGACACGTCGCAGATACATCGGCGACATGCCCCATACCACCCATAGCATGCCCGCGCGATCCTGAGCGGGGTGTGGGATATCAGGCCCCTGTCGTCGACGAGTAGGCGATGAGGAGCCGACGCGTTCCCCCCTGAGCCTGCCCGCTCCTCATGCTGTCCCTGACAAGCGTTCTGGGGCGGCTCCCCCTCCCCAAGGCATCCGGCGGCGGCTCGAAGAAATATACCGTAGCACCCCGCAGATGCGGGTAAGAGTGAGGGGGCGGTGGGGACGTCGGCAGTTTGTGAGACTCTGGAACATCCCGCCGCAGGCGCCAGAGTTTCACAAGTTATCCAACGAGCCCGCCGCAGGCGCCGATTTTTCGTTAAACCAATGTGGGTCGGTCGCGGGTGGGTTGCGGGTGGGTCGCAAATTGGTCGCGGCTGGGTCGCGGCTGGGTCGCAGATGGGTCGCGGGTGGGTCGCGGGTGGGTCGCCGGTGGGTCGCGGGTGGGCCGCGGGCGGGTCGCGGGGTGGGTCGCGGGTGGGTCGCGGGTGGGTCGCGGATAGGTCGCGGGGTGGGTCGCGGGTGGGTCGCCGGTGGGTCGCGGGGTGGGTCGCGGGTGGGTCGCGGGTTGGGTCGCGGGTGGGTCGCGGGGTGGGTCGCCGGGTGGGTCGCGGGTGGGTCGCGCATGGAACGACGACAACAAACAAACAAACAACAACAGCGCCACAAGGCAACAAGCATAATCCTCACTAAGGATCCCCACTCCAACCACGCACCCAAGGACAATGAATGACCGTTCGGCCCCCTCATTCTGCTTATCGAGCCTGTGCTTTTGGTTGTTGCTCAACCGCTGGTCGGGCCCTCGCGGAGGCTGGCGCCGGGCCCCGGGTGCCGTCAAAAAAGCGGCTCGGGCCGAAAGAGCTGTCAGTGTTGGCGTTTTCCTGCACAGCGAATGCCGTAACGGGGTCTCGCTTGTATCAAGAGGGGCGGTTCTCGCTTCCGAGGTGCGGACAAGCGTGCCGCCCGTGCCTTGCCGTGCCGTGCCTGCGTGTCGTGCTGTGCCGAGCCAGTGCTTGATGCCGTGCCGTGCCGTGCCTGCCGTGCTTGCGTGTCGTACCCACGTGCCGCGCCGCGCCTGGTTTCTGGAATGCGGCAAGCTTGCCGTGCTGTGCTGTGCCGTGTCGTGCCTGGTGTTCAGAATGCGAAGGAATTGCCGTGCAGTGCCGTGGCGACAGCGTGTCTCCTTATGCTACGTTGGTATTTCAGGTCTCTATGCCAATGCACTTGTTTTCGGGGAGGGGCGAAATTCACGCCACCAAGGCCAGATGAGCCCCGGGGGCGGAGTGCTCCCCAGGCGAGTGGCGACCACCGCGCGTCTTCTGTTAAGGCGGTGACGGGGAGGTGGCCGGGAGGTCTGGGGGCTCCCGTGGCCTCGAAAAGGTTCGGGCCGCCGGATCTACGGGAGACTTCTCTTCTACCAGGGCTTCTGGGCTGCCGAATGGCGGCGGAGGTGGGGTGGCCGCGGAGAGGTGGAGCGCCGAGCACGAGGACAGGGCGACGGGATCTGCTTTTTTGCACCCCGCTTGCCCGTCCAGGAGGCCCTAGCGTGCCTGGCGGAGCCATCAGCATGAAGGCAAGCACCTGCCTCGACGCGCGCAGCACCGCGGCCGCATGGCACAGTCGCGAGCGAGGCCGAGGCGACGGGATCTATACATATCCACCGGCCCCGGCGAGGGCCACTCTGGGCCCAAGGGCGGTGTGTGCGATCGTCCTTCCCTCGAGCCTTCCCACCCTGGCGGCGTGCAGGGAGCGCGGCCTTCTGACCAGGCGGGGGCCCTCCTCGCCGAGGGGGCCAGGAGGAGGCTTCTGAGGAGGCCCCTCGGGGAGGGAGGGAGGGCCTCGCGGAGCCCCCCCCCTCCTCCTCCTCCCCCTCCTCCTCCTCCTCCTCCTCCTCCTCCTCCTTCTCCTCCCCCTCCCCCTCCCCCTCCTCCTCCTCTCCCCCTCCTCCCTCCTCCTCCTCCTCCCCTCCTCCCCTCCTCCCTCCTCCTCCTCCTCCTCCTCCCTCCTCCTCCTCCTCCTCCTCCCTCCTCCTCCTCCTCTCCTCCTCCTCCTCCTCCTCCTCCTCCTCCTCCTCCTCCTCCTCCTCCTCCTCCCCCCCTCCTCCCCCTCCTCCAAGTACCCCCTGCGCGCCGCCCGCGCCGCCGCCCCCGCCCGCCGCGGAGCGCGACAGCTCGACTCTCCCTCGGGGCCCGGGCGCCGGTTCCGCTGGGGGGGGCGGGGCGAGAAGGGTGCGCTCCTCGGGGGGCCTGCAGGCCTGCCCTCGGGGGCCCTCGAGGGCCCCCGCTCTCAGGGGTCCTGAAGGGGGGGCCTCCCTTCTTCTGCGGCCCTCGCTGCCCCCCCTCCATTTTCGTCGCCCCCCCCCCCGTTCCCAGACCCCCGACGCCATGTTTTTTTGTCATGACCCGACCCCCCAAAAAAATTCCGGACCCCTTCCCCGGGACCGGCTCTTCGACGGCCCCGAGGCCCGGGAAGGGCCCCCCCCCCCGAGGCCGAAACTTGGAAAAACCTCCCGTCGTGATCTTTTCACGACGCTGGGGGGTCTGGGCTTCGCGACGCCGCAGGGGCGGCGCGCCCAGGGAAGTTCCCGGGGCTTCTGCAGCGGGCGCGCCTCTGGCGAGCCGAGGGCACCCGCAAACGTCGTGCCGATCAGTGAGGGCCCCGGAGCCGCTCCGGCGAGCCCCGGGCGGCGCCCCGCGGGCCGGCCTGCCCGCCGTGTGCGAGCCCGTGCGTCGCCTCGCCCCTCTCTCGAGCTCACGCCTGGTGCCCTGGACGAGGAGGCCTCCCACATGGGGTCGGAGTATACTTAGGTCGGGCATGTCCCCATACAGGCGGATTTTGGAGGAACAATAACAAATAGTCCAAACGTATGCAAAGATAGTGCAAAAAGCTCAACAAATCGTCCCCGTACTATTGTTTTACTATTTTTGAATATTCCTCCTGTAGAGGGACACGCCCGACTTAGATGGGGTCGGAAGCTCGCGCCGCATCGGCAATGCATCGAGGAGGCATGGGCGATGCATAGGCGGCGCCAACGCGGAGAACATCGGGCTCCACGTCGAGCTGCACCATAGATGCATCGGCGATGCGGCGCGATCCTCCGACCCCATCTACTCCAACCCCATCTAGGAGGCCTAGACTCACGCCTCGTGCCCTGGACGAGGAGGCAGGAAAGCCCAGAATCGAATCGAGCAGGCGCGTTCGACGATCGGAGCGGCTCGGGCCGGCGCGGAAGTCGGTAGCCAGGTCGGGCGACGTCGAATCGGCGGAAGTCGACAAGCCAATAGGGCCTCCATGGAGAAACGGAAATCCAGGTCGGAATCCGAAACCGGATCGAATCGTGGCCGTTTTTTGTTTGTTTGTTTGTTTGTTTATTTGTATTTTTCCCGGGTAACAGTCGTTACCCGGAGGGGGTTCGGGCGGGAGGGTATTGGTAACGGCGGCCACAGCGTGCACACGCCAAGGTGCGTCTGCGCCACCGGCGCATCCATCGCCTGTGTGCACCATCGTGGGGGGTGCAGGCCCCCCCCCCAGCACGATCGTTAGCGTTGCCCAAGGGTGGGTGGTGGGGTCGGGGGTTGGCCAGGGTAGCGAGCGTTACCATGGGAACAAAAAACACGCTCCCATCTGAATCGGAATCGATCGAAACCGAATCGAATCAAATCGAATCGAGTCGGTTCGAATCGAAATCGAATCGA